TGCTGCCTAAAGGGCCTCTCTCTGAGAAGGCAACACCTTTACCTTTGGACAGCTGAATCTCCCACCTTGTAGCTTTTACTCCATTTGCCCCCTTCAAAGATAGACCAAAGATGATGATTTGCTAATAAGATTAGATTATAATTTTAACCTGTTAAATAAAATCTGTACAAATACAATATAATGGTTATAATTATGAGATATAATTTAGTATCATTATTACCAATATGTACAAATAGAGCTGGAATAATTTTTAGTATGATCAGCAGCAGAGAACCCATGTCTCAATGTTGAGCCTTTATAATGAAGAGAAATTGCATTTAGACACTTTCATGGATGCTTCAGCCTAGTAAAGGCAATTTGTTGGTTTTTTCTCTTTGAAATAATAAATTTCTGTTTGTACCTCTTACCTCTAAACTAAGTAAATATAATATGGATGTCCATGAAACCTCAGGAATTACATAACAGTCAAAATTCTATGACTACAGATTTGCATTTGTTAAGTTCTTTTTGCATTGAGCTTTATCATTCAATGTGAACTCCTGGTGATCCCAAAATAATTCAAAGCTTTTTAGGGGCTTCGATAGGGCATTAAAGCAGACACATCCCAGTGAGATAAAGAAAAACCACCCCACAGTAAAGTAAAACAGCCACTGTGCTACTAGAAAATGCTATCAACTACAATTAAACTTAGCATGACATACGTAGATGCAATTTTTGCAAAAATATGGGCAGCCCCTACCTATTTTCATATATTTTGTTATAACACTTTTATAACTGGCATAGACCCACAGATATATTTTCCTTTTCCTGGTGGTGCTGTAGCTTGCCTGGTTTTGCACCTGGCAAGCTGAAAGCATCTACATTCTGACCTTGTCCAGAAAGAAGATTGTACCAATTTATCTCAATCTTTTCTACGCTGATGTAGTTAAATTGATACTTTTGTGTGTGTGCAGCTGATGGTGTTGATCTACACTTCTCTTCCAATTAATCTCTCTGGCAGTTGCAGCAAATCCTGCCTCCCAACCAGTCCCTGAGTGTGCTGGGGAGGAGTTCAAAGAGTGCAGCTAGAAAAGGACTGGGCTGCAAATCGCCAAAGCAGAAGTGAAACTGCAGTCCCAGAGTGTTTTGCCTATTGCTCAGACCTCCTTTGCAGTGCCACGTCTCCCCTGCCCCAGATTAGGAGGTTTGTCCCCAGGGACTGTCTGAAGCCTGTTTGATAGATCCCATTTTCTAATGCTGCTGAAATACATTGCCCTTTCCAGAGGTGCAGGGCAGAAATAACTATTTGTCCTTATAGGATTCAAGCTTAATAACCCCCTTTACACTTAGTCATTCTCACTTTTCTCCTTAGGATTCAATTTGATCAACGTTTCAGCATATGGGTTCTGATGCTCCCATCTCTCTTAAGGGGTTTGTCTCACCACCAGCACCTTGTCCCTGTCCCTGGGCTCCCTGCTTCACCATGCTATTGTAAATATTTGTGCTGTTCCTCCAGGTTAAAAAAAAAAAAAAAGGAAAGAAATAAAAAAGTGGCCTTTAACCATATTTACTTTTCCATGTGGATATTGAAGCAATTTTGCCAGAGAGAGGAGGAGGCAGGATGGCCGAGAACGATGGCTGGGAGCAAGGGGAGAGGAGGACAGCACCTTTCAGTAGCTGTGCTGATCTGGAGCATTTGTCAAGCTGCACACCCTTCAGTCCAGCCTTTTATTTCACAGGATGTCTCCTCCTAAGGAATTCTTCACTGAAATTTGTCACCTTGACTAAGTAAATCTGGGGGTGCCTCACCCTGGGATCTGAGCATGTCTGGGGCTGACTCTCACTGCCTGGGGTGCCACACAGGAATCCTGGCCACTGGGGCTCAGCCTTCAATTAGTGTCAAATACTCAGTTCAAATATATTCAAATATACCAAGTGGGCACAAAATATTCAAATATACCAAGTGGGCACAAAGACTTTGCTGTGGCCTATCTGAAAGACAGGAGTAAACCCAAAGCTTGTTTGTGCTTACCTGGGCCTGTAATTAAACCACTAGGACACTCGAGTCTTAATCCAATTGAAAGTTCTTTGATTACAGCATTTAAAATTGTGCCTTCATTACAAACTCAGCAGGCCCAATTATTTTGCAATTATGAACATTAATAAGTGGTATAGGAAAATCAGGACAGCCTGGAGGATTGGAGGATGGCAGCTGCTCCTGAGAAGGATGTGGATGTGTTGCTCAGGAGTGATCAGAAGCTGCTGCCAGGCAACGAGGGACCTGAGAGGAACCTCCTGGGACGAGGGCAGGATCTGGATCATCTCATCTTCCAGAGGGAGGTGAGACTTGCAAGGGCCTCCCACCACTGCAGAGAGCAGCCCCAGGGAAGCAGGGCAGGGAGAGGTGCTCTGGTCCTCAGGGCTGCCAGACAGCCAAGCGCTGGCAAATTACTTTGGTTAAAGCTCTTTCAAGCTTTTATCACTTACATAGCTGTGAGATAAATTGGGACATCTCATTTAGCAAGAAAAAGGATCCAGCCCTGGCCTTGTGTTGGTCTCTTTGGATCAGGGAAGAGAAGTTGTGGTGGTCATGAAAATGATCATGACAGAAGAAGCTTCTCTAACTCATCATGGTCTTTGCTCCCATTTGCATTTTTGTTGAAGCCTTATTTGAGAATCTTGGGATTTGATTTAGGCTTGACTTAACTAAGCTCTGGCTCTTGAAGGTTGTTTTCTCACGAGCTGCTGTGCTGGTCCATTGTTGGAGAAACAAGAAACAGGAGATGAAAAGAGGCCACAGACTGGTGACCGCTTAAAACACAGAAAATAATCAAACCAATCTCTTTTTATAATGCCAAGAATTAAAAGATGGCAATAAAGAGACAGTTATTTGAAAATATTATGGATTAAACATAAATTACTGTTAAGGGCACTAAGAAAACCACAATCCATTTTGGTTGAAGACAGCTCTGGTGATCACTGCTGCTTCACTGCTCACCTGCTGGCTCTCCTGTGTTGCCATTTTGGAGGCAGGGGACCTTTGAGGGGACAGCCTAGGCAAGATTTGAAGGCATCTCTCTCCTGTCAGTGCAGTGTCTTCTGTCTGAAGCAGAAGAGGCAGGAGATGAGCAGGTAACAGTCTCAGGGCTTTGAACTCTGCCTGTTGTCTCCGCCTTAGAGAGGAAGGCTACTGGGGTGACTTTATGATGCTTGCATCCCCATTCGCCTGTTTACCCCAGAAATAAGCTAACATTAACAAGAGGGACTTCTCTCCCTGTGTGAGTTGAAGAAAGGCTATTATAGAGGTGGTAAACTGACTGAAAATTTTAGGTTTTGTCTCTTTACATTGTCGGTGGGAAATAAAATGTTGTAGGAGAAGGAGAAGTGTTCTGAAGGTTTTGTTCTGTTTCTTATTACCCTTTCTTTTAATTACTGTTAATAAACTTTTCTTTATACCTTTTCAAAATTTGGAGCCTACTTTACCTTCCTCCCAATCATATCTCACAGCAGGAAATGAGTGAGTACATTCTAGTGAGTACAGTGGTGTTTGGCCAGTACTGAACCCACCACACCATGCTTGATGGAAGCACATCCAGCACATCCAACAAGTAGCATTTCAAATGAAATGCTCTCATGTTTTAGGAGCTGGGAAGCACTAGTTCAAGGTAAATATTAAGTTATGGAGTTGAATGTTGTTGGGAATTTAGCTGCTAGAGAATGGAAAATTATAAAGCTGTGGCTAATTCCAAGTCCTGCACCTGCATAGATAGCAGTGTCCTTGGGCCTAGCTGTAGTAGGATAACAAACAGTGAAAGAGACATGAGAAAAGAGAGATGTAACCCCTAAGGAATGAGGAAGAGTTCATGGTATAGTTTAACCAATAGATTGCTTGGCTTACAGAATATAGAATTCATAAGCTTATTATTTGCTGTATAAGTTTTTGATACTTTCTTCAATAAACTGGACCTGAAGGACCAGAGGGACCGGGACCGGACCGGACCTGAGGGCCTGTGATGAACCAACTGGTGTCCTGGTCTCCTTCCTTCAACAGAATGTGTTATTTCTCATCACCCAAGGTAAGGTAACTTGTTCTGAGCAAGCTTCAACTGGAATGTATTGAGCCTTGACAGAAAAACTTCTCCCTGAAGGTTCAGCCAGGGCAGTCCCTGCCCTTTCCCATCCTGGTGGCCTCATCTTTCTATTCCTGCCTTCCCCACCAGCACTCCTTGGCTACTGATGTGAGCCAGACCAGGGAGACAAAAGGAGAGAGAAAATCCTTTATTCTGAAGGGTGAGTTTAACTGGGTCCCAAGAGAACTCCCAGAGCCAGTGAGGAGGATGAGGAGGAGGAAGGGTGGGAACAGGTGCTGGGCACAGCAGAGGGGGAGTTTTCAGCTGCACAGAGTGGTTAGACAGGCTTTTGCTGTGTGTCAAACCACACCTGGAGTTACAGCAGCACGGAGCTGTGAGCGTGTGGGACGGGTGACATGGCCTTCTGCCATTGCTCCACTTTACTGTCACACTGTGGGAGCAATGGCCTTCCCAGGCAAGGCTGGCATTCCCTGCAGCCTTAAAGGAAGTGTTCAATCACCAGGTGAGCCCCATTAGCTGCAGGGGTGGCCCTGGAGAGCTGAGACCTCTGTGTGCTGGACAGACAGCACCTGGGCTCTTGTCAAACACAGCCAGGAATGTCAGATGAGAATTACAGAAATATGAAGCACACGCTGAGCACAATGTCTGTGCAGTGCTGTGACTGAAAAGGCTGATGTGGAGGGACATTTTGGGACAAAACTGGTCTCTATGAACTTTAGAGCTCTGCAGTATAGACAACTGCAATGGCATGGCTGGCAAGGCTTCTGTGGAGTCAACTGAGGAGGAGCAAGCCCTTTCAGGATGCAGTTCATCCCATCCTGGTGTAGACACAACAGTTAAAGGTGATAAATACTTCTCTGATATTTTAAAAAGGCTAAGTTCTCCATAGGCAACTATTTTTAAATGAGAGGGTCATGCCCTGCTTTTTTCCATGTGACACTGCAGAGATCCTTTGGTGGCTTGCAGGACTGCACACTTGGCCAGAAGAATCCCACCATTTCTCTCCCAGGAGCTGAAAAATGAGGAAATGTGAGTAACATATTTCTCCATGTTTGCAGAATCATAAACAATTCTCCTCACAAAGCAATAACTAAAAATTGCATCAGACTCCGAGGGAAAGGTAGTGATGAAAGAAGGAGCAGCATTCTATTCTCCAAAAACCAAAAAAGCTTTTGAAAGAAGAAGAAAACTGCCACAAATTCAGTTTTTTTCTGGACTGGAGCAGATATTTCTATGCAGTGTGATGCTGACTGCACAGCTGCCTCTTTACAGCTAAAACTCAACACCTGTAATGAACTCTCTTTGGGTTTCTCTTGCCATTAGCATCTTCAGATGTATTCTTTTGTTTAACAAAATGTTATTTGTCCCCCTCTAAAGCCAAAGGTAGATGCTACTAGATTTTTTTCCTGAACATCAATCTACCTTTCTGGGTGTGTGAACCCTCACAGCAATAATTGCTCAGAAATAAACTGTACTGTTCAGTGTGGATGCCCAGGCTGCTGGGACAGAGTTCTGCCAGCTGTGAGGAACTGCCACCTCCATTTCCTGGGGGTACAGAGAAGCAGAGCTGCCTCTCTGCTGCCAGAAGAAACCCCTTGTGCAGACACAGCCACACTGGCAGCACTCCTTCCCTCCAGGGGCTGCATCTCCCTGGGGCAGCGAGGAACAAAGGTTGGTCCCTTTACCTGCAGCAGGAACATTTTGTCAGTGGAGTGAACAGGTTGGACTTTTGTGCAGCCAAAGTGGTACCTGTGTGCTTGACTTTGATGTCTGTGCATTTTATTTCTTTAAGTAAAAGGTTTCCACTGCTTGTCACTGTCATATTTTCTGGAAAAATCCCTTCGGCAGGATTTCTTCTCCTGGGAAGCTGGAAGCCTCAGAGAAAAAGGAAAACAATATTATCTCATTGCTTCTCCTGTGTTTTGCTGCTCTGGAATGTGGTTGGAGATTGTTTATCCAACAGGTGGTTGTTCATTTTTTTCATGTGAATTGTTTTTACTTAATGACCAATCCCAGTCCAGCTGTGTCAGGACTCTGGAGAGAGTCACAGGTTTTTCATCAGTATCTTGTTAAGCCTTCTGTAAGTATCCTTTATTCTTTAGTATAGTTTTAGTATAGCATTCTTTTATATAATATAGTAACATAAAATAATAAATTAGCCTTCTAAGAACATGGAGTTAGGTTCATAATTTCCTTCCTGCCACGGGGGACCCTGAATATACCACACACTGCTGATTTCAACTCCTTCATTCTGGGGCTGCTGGTGATGGGCTCTTTAGCATATTAATGGGAATAAACACTGCTCAGCCAGTCACACTTCATCACAGATTGCTCAACTTCCCTTTCATTATCTTACTAAATAATATGCATCTATTCAAATTACATTTATTCTTAATATGTCTAAGATGCTCATGGAAGTGTAAAATAGATGTTTAACAATAAGTTCTTCTCCCTCCTTAAATTTTGGCTTCATTTGCTGCTTTATTTGAATGAGGGGTCACAGCTGGCCATTGAATAACAACATTTACTTGGTTTTGTAAAAACCATGCCCTTCTGTAACGTCTTTGAAAGGAGGCAGGCATACACCGACAGGTCCTTTCCCTTTAAGAAGAATGCATATCCTTTTGCCTCTGCTTCTGCTTGGGATGAGAAAACTTAAAAAACAATGCTGTCACTTAAACCAGGCTGCTAACACCTGATCCTGCAAGGGTTAAATGGTGTCACTGCAGTTTCGCTTCCTCTCAGACAGAGAGAACTACACTGTATGAAATAATTTGTTTATATTCCTTTCCTGTTCCAGACAGAGTTAGCAAGAACATTAATATGACAACTGCATCAAACACTTGCATTCCTTTCACACAAAGCAATTTAAAATTAATTTTTTTTCAGCAGGTTTTCTTTCCTTGACCTCTTCTCTAAATGAAAGTGATCCTCAGAAAATTTTGCATTAGGTAAGTAATTGCCCTGGATAAAAGCCTTTGCCCTCTAGAAGGATTTTCAAGTGTTTGGAGTGATAAACTCCTTGTTTAGGGACCACTAATCCAGAAGATTGTTGTGATTCTGTAAGTGGCAGATACAATAGATGTGCAAGTTCAGGCATGCATTTCAAGAGAATACCTCTTGGCTGCTATTAATGAAAAGTAAAAGGCTTTTTAAAGGAAGTTTTATGAAATCTTTGAGCCTGTTGGATCATAGATAAATGACTGCTAAAAGAAAAGTTCATTGACAGCAGCATGTGAGACCAGGCTATAGATAAATTCAGTATGAAGCACCTAAATGGGGACAAGGTGGGGATGAGAGGGAAAATCCAAGATGTACAAAACTAATTCCAAATTCTGGTGTGTGATGCTCAGGCTGTACTCTTTACTCAGTTGCACAAGAAATAGTGACAAGATTAATGTCATGCTACCAGAATTTTTTTCAGGTTACTATAAGGAATGAAAGCAGGACAGAAGAATCTGGCAAAAAGTATGGGAAGGGAAAAGAGATGTGAGGAGCAGAAAGAAGGATTTCTTCTGCTAGACTTCTCTTCTGTAGTCTTCTTTGGGCAGCCTAGCCTTGCTCCAGGGACAGCTGTACAAGCTGTAATCTGACACAAATCCTTTTGCCTGACACTTTCATACTCCCTGCTACCTTATTTCCTCTAGTCAAAACAAGCAGGAAACATTTCTGCAAGGACCACATGTGAATTTAAATGGTGCAGATGATGGTCCTGTGGAGAAAATGGCCTTGTTTCTTGCCTCCACCACTCTTCTGCTTTGCCATGGCAGCTCATTCCCATGTGCCCTTTCAATGCTGCTCCTCTCCCACATTTTTTTCCTCTGCCTGCCTTGAAATTAAATCAGACAGCACCCTGGCCCAGGACAGCAGGCTGACAGTCAGTGTTTTCTAGCAGGACTTTCAGTGGAAGGTGGGAATTAATTGTGTGGCAGGACCAAAAAAGGCTTTTCAGGTAGAGCAGAGGCATTGCACCAAAAATTTCTCGCAATGAAGAAACACTTGAGTATTCTTAATTTCAAGGAAACTGCTGGTAATTTTCATGGGTTGTTTGGCAAAGATGTATTCTGCATGTGTATTTAAATAAAGGCCATGATATTTGCTTAGCAGCAATGAGGGCATTAGTGTGTGACAATGATGCCCTGCTTCCATTCCCTGGGATCTGGCCAAAGGAACCTTCCCATGCAAAGTATGGGAAAAAAAGTCCCTTGAGTTGACTTCTCTTAAACATGTCAACCCAAAACTTTCCTCTGTAGTTTTCTATAATGCTGTTACTCACCCTCATGCTCATTTTCTTAATTAATTTGCAACAATCTGCCTTTCATGTGAATGATCTTGGCCACTGAGGCGGGTAGGAATAGAGTGTCCTATTAGAGTTCTAGAGTCTCCTAATAGAGATGTGGGAAGGAAGGAAGTGGC